AAAAAAAAATAATAAAGCTCTAAATCTACTACTTAAAAACATAACAATCGCTCTATATATATTATATGAAATAGCAATTTTTTTTTCAAATCTCGGCACTTGCAGTATGATGCTATAAAAACACAAGGTTTGGAAAATTTTACCCTGAATACACTTAGTATTACGAGCACAACGTTATATCGTTAAAATAAGATGGAGAGGGAAATATCGCATCAACACCGTATATATATTTTTTTTTTTAATAATCAACCGATACGTACCCGTGTGTTTAATACCTTTCATTAAAATGACAAAAGTTCCAGGCAATGGGCCGGATCGTAAAGCTGCGTTTTATTGCCGTCTGCATAGCTAGGGAATTTAATAACTATATCAGAGTCCGCCGGGCTGTAGCTCATTGCAGGGACCACCACCCTACCATCACACACCCCCACGCAAACTCTCCACCAACCACCGCAACTTGTCGTCCCACTCACCCGCCAGCCTTTAAAACGAATACTACATTGGTATAAATCATACATATATATGTATATATTATATACATAATATTATGGCATATATACCTTCGTCATGCATGTTAACTGTTAACTACTTTACGCAACAACATTTACGACAGAAAATATAACTACAAAAATTTTGTTTTCGATGTGTCTGCCTTTATATATATATATATATACCCTCGGTATACATTATACCAATGTATATAAATAGTGGGGTTGGAAAAATGTAAAGAAAATTATACGGCTCCGGACTTAATATAAAATATATTATACGTATATATATTATATTTATACTATTCCAGAAAAAACGCTATTTTCTAGATTGTATACGACTTGAGTTTAATTAAATAGGTGTTTGTTTTATTCCGGTCTACCTTGTCCGTAATGGATATTTTCTCGTTGTTATTAGGACAATATTTCCAGGACACGAACCGGACGGTTCGTCTGTGTTAATCCCAATAATATTACACCCCTCATTTTTATTTTATAAAATAACACATTTTCAGATTTCGTCGTCCGACGGGAACTAAAAAAAATGAAATACATTCACCCCATATCACTTCAATATAACAGCAGGGTAGGGTTTAATTGGTTGTATACCTGTAGGCAAATTAACTCGATTTTACGTGTAAGCATATACTAATAGAGGTGTAAATATGACATTTATCACGAATTTATTTTTATTTTTAATTAAAATCTTTAAGTTATAATTTTACATTTTTCTTCCTAATCCCAATTATTTTACATCGTGTTATTATTTTTTATTCCTAAATAAATTCATCTCTACTTAACTGATAAACACAAACGCACACAGTAAGTTATTGGTACTATTAACATTATATACTTTTTAAATTGTTCAGTATATTTTCCGTTGAATATACGACTTAATAAGTGGATCATTTTCGTGATAAAAATCATGAAGCAATGAACCAAAAGGTATAACCCTGTAACTAGTGGACTCTGGAATAACTTGTTTTAATAACATAGAATTGAGTTAACAAAACCCTGGCATACCTACATATAATAATACATAAAAACAAAAACAAACGCTTGTTAAGATTCCGAGTAAACAATTTCAATGAGTTACAAGATAACAACTATACTGCAAACAGTGACAACTCCATAAATTAGATATTTTTATAGCATTACATTATACACAAAAAAGTGATAAACAAATTAATATCATTGTTAATTTAAATATGTTTTTTAGTAGTAACAGTACTTATATAACATCGATAAGATTGCTAGTGTTTTTAGTTATTTGCAAATACCGTTAAAAATCAAAATTTTAACTGATTTTTGATATTTTTGATATTTTAGATTAAATAATTACTAATTTTAATTATTTTAGTTAAAGCGAAGGTATACAATGTATATTATTATTATACATTTATATATTTTCGTTTATGAAGTTAGCACCATTAGTGGTTTTCATTTTAATATAATAATAATTATACTGTATATTGATTACTTAATGTGCAGCTCGTATGATCACAAGGAAGCTGTAAAATTGTTTTTAAACTTAAAACGTTGTGTTTTTAGTTTTGATTCATTTTTTTTTTTTGAGTAATATAGAAAAATTAGAGATAATTGGCTTTATATTATTTTTTAATTAATCAATATTTTTATTGATATAAAATATAATGTTTGAAAAAAATATAAAAAATATAAAAATTTTTGATTCCAAATGATTACATGTATTATTATATAATCGTATTATTATATATCGTACTATATGGTTTCACCGTTGCTGCAGTAAATATGCGCATATAGTTTTAAAAGTGCATATATCTGCTCATTGTAGTTCTCGGAAATTAAATTCATTACCTATTACACCACATAACTACCTTTATAGATAACAATTGTTAAATGTACACGAAATATCTTACCTTAGGTGTGTACTATTTTTTAAATTGTCGGGGACAGGTATATCATAATAATATGGGTTTAGGTGTGGAAGTGTGGGACGAACTTCAACTCTTTGACTCTATGGGTGGGTACCTATATATACTGTATAATAATATATATGTTTAGAAATATATTAGCGTAAAGGATGATGCAATAATCACATTTTTAATATTCAAAACAAAGCATGTGCAATCAATACAAATCTGTGGTTGAGCTTGAGGTTACATTAATTATAATACTATAAGTGAAGTGTAGCTACATACTGAAACACATTTCCCGGAGTCGTATCCGAAATATATAGGTATATAATACGAAATATCAAAAGGTTTGTATTATTACCTGTCGACTGCAGATTGTTACATATTAAGTGTATTATTATTGTGATATCTAAGTGTATAGAGGTACCTATGTAGCGTTTATCGTCTACTAACTATAAAGGAACGTTTTGAATTCTATCCCATAAGAAACGTAGTTACAATAAAAAACAAGGAAATTCACTCGTTTTTTATTTCTTCACGGCTGCACTCAAGTATTTTTTTTACAGAAACAATGTACAACATCCACGGACGGAAGAGGATGTCATGGCATACCATTCATCCCCCTGCGAATGCCAATACTAATATTCTACATTGACCAAAATATAAATCACAACTTACAAAGAATTAAGAATCATTTGTCTATTTTGGTCATGTAACCCAACGCAGCGTATAACTAATGGCAATTTGTAATAGTATCATACATTGTATTATCATCTTATCCCTCGTAAAATGCCTCGTGTGACCACTTACTGTTGAAGTTACTCAATTCACTCTAATTAATGTACCAGTGCCATTTTCCGAAGCGCCCACCCAATTTTCCTAGCCCTGATTGGGTGATTTGGTGAATCATCTCTATGCTCACTCTTTTTTTTCAACAATTATGGAATTACTCTAAATCTCCTTATTGTAATTTTTAAATATGCTCAAAGACCATATTTTAAAATTGTTGAAAATAATTAAAATTGCTAGAATTTATAAGATCCTGAGTACTTTGCACTATAAGACCCTCATTCCTTTGTTACTCTTTGTTCTCCCCTCATAAAGTCAAATCAGTTCCACCACTGATGCAGATAGTGTAAATGTGAATCAAATATAAATGAATGAATACGTAAACGATGATAAGAACATTGAGAGTATTCAAGATACTATCTAGACACTATAATCTGAGGGACTATAAAAAAAAAATATAAAACAGTTGCAAAAACTGTAGGGATTTCGACCATCCATAGGAGTATATGTAGATAGAAACGTAATATCACTTAATTATAGTCATGTCGACAATATACGAATATTGTAGAGGGGGGGGGGCAATATTGGCAAATGTTAGATACCTAGTTAATGCACTAAACTAATCTTATCGACGTCACCTGATATTTTATTGGTAGGTAATAGTTATAAACAAAACTGCTGTTTACTTAAGAACAATACAGAATTTAATGGATTTATATAAATAAGTCTGTCTTACGAATTGAAAGAAAGATAATATATGAGACATATCAATAAAAAAAAAAAAAAAAAAAAAAAAAAAAGGAAATGCGATAAATGGTTGAAGAGTAGCTTACGTACAATTATGTGTATCGTTCGTGTAATCTTTGAACTGACATTTAAAGAAGTCATAACTCATAATCCATATAAATCTATTGTTTGTTCTTTTTATCAATAATCGCAGAATAATTATTATCACTTTAAGCTTGAGCTGCGTAATATTTACTTAAACACAGTTTTATACAACAAACGTCCAATTTTTTCATCTGAATTTGAAAATAATATTTGTGTCACTGCATTAATTAGTAAGAATAACAATAGTAAAAATAATGATAAAACTGTAATTTTAAAACGAAATACCAAAAAAAACTGTATTTTAAAGATCAAATTGTACAAAATTCGTGAAAATCGAGTAAATTTTGAAATTATTTTGTAACGATGATTTCAGTTAATGTAATTAAAAATATTATTTGTAGGGAATGGAAACTTAGACATATAATATTATTATATATTATACATACAATGGAATTTTTAAATGCAATGTTTTTGAAAAGATTAATTATTTGACAGCATTACTAATAGTAAAATAAATAAATTAAAGAACAATAAAACATGTATTTATACTTTTTATATTATTCTGTCTTCACTTGAACGTTTACTATCATTTTTCGTATGCGATAGCTCATCATTTAGTACGATTTACACACGAAACCTACCGTACTGTCAGAGCGTTCAAATATTCTCCCCTCCACTTTTTTTTCTCGAATTCTATGTATTAAGTATTTACTTCACAGCACAAATAATATAACTATACACCTAAACCATAATACAATAATATATTTGTAAAACTTATTGATACGTACAACTCAATTTAAGACTTTCTAGTATTACATTTATTTATATGTAGCTATTATTTATTTTGTTGTAAGTTTTAATAACCTAATGGTTGATGCTGAACTAATAATAATAATAATAAAATCATATCTGAAAGTCAAAAACGTAAATATTGTTCCAAATTGTGATATTACGACTCACTGTAGGTCAGATTATAATATTAACGAGATCAACTTACCTCGATGAACGGTGGGAAGGTGACACTTGGAGTGGGGAAATGAGGCTGAGCGTGGTGCCACAGCGCAGTGGCGTTGGTCAGTGGCAACGGAAACGGGTAAATGGGTCGCGGGTGCCAGACGGCCGCGTGCGTTGGATGGTTCGGCCCACCACCGCATATCACGTTGGAAACGCTTCCATTTGTGGCCACCCGCCGTCCGCCACCACCGACAGACTCCAACGCGATTACCGTCGGCGTGATCGCCGGTTCACGGTAATCGGTCACGGACAGGCTGCTACCAGACCGGTTGAGGTTCAATGGTGGCTGCACGGGCTGGTGGTGCGACGGCGACAGCGGCGGCTGGTGGTGGTGGTGGTGTTGATGGTGATGTTGYCCGATGAGCGCCGACGTTGGTGGCCGGTTGACGGATTGCCGACCGTGATGCACCTGTTGCTGATGGGCGGTCACGACGACGACTGTCTTCGAATCAGTGGACGATGTTGCGGCGGAAATCGCTTCGCTTTTCTCCGTCATCATTTCCAAATATTTCAACTCCTCGTGTGCTGAAACACACGGCATGACACGGTGAAAACTAAACTACATGTGCGATATTATCTAATATTATATTATTACTCAGCCACACAGGTGGTTATTTCAATTTTATAGGCACCGATAGTATAGTTTGTATTATATATATATATATATGCGACGGTTATAGTGATGAACAACTACTGATGGTTAATGCACTAATTACAATATATCACAAAATGTATAAAATAAATGATGATGCTGTAATATGTCATACTCCTGGTACAGATCCACAGAACAAAACTTATTTTCGAAAATGGACTTCTTATAAACTGAAAAAAACGCACCGCAGATTATGTGGTGCAAATATCACACCTACACTTTTAATAACAGATAGCTTAAGGTTATTGAGTACTATAATTCATATAAGACAGAAAATCCTAAATCTCATAAACAACCAACGTATATTGAATGAACTGATACCATAAAAGGCCACAAATGGGTCGACGTTATGGGTGAACTCTCAAGGTCTCAACTAAATTTGAATAATAAAATGATATAAAAGGCAAATATAAGGCAAAAACTGTATGGTTTTGTACCTATAATATGTAATTTAAAAAAAATCAGCATTATTTAATATTATCTAAGAACTTAACTTATATTTTTATAAACAATACAATTTATATTAGTTTTAATCACGGACTAAGATATACAGGACTGGAAACGAAGGTTGATAACGGGTTCACCTTATTATTATGATTGTTCTTAGGACGAGGGAATTTCAGTTCTAATCAACACTAACGCTCAGCTCTTGGCCAGCGGCCGTTATCCAAATTATTGTTTATAGTATATTTAGTTTACATTGTTTACAATTCAATAATGTTGTGAATTTGTGCTGTTCTTTGAGTGTTATAGACGTAGGGGCCAGCTGGTGTTATCATGATAAAAAAAAATAGATATTTACAATAATTTTTAATAACCGTATATTATAATTTATTAGTGTTTTGTTAGTGACATAATATCATGGAAATAAGGCATACCCTATTATATAGGTAGCATTTATAAAATAACAAATAATATGCGGAACCTATTACAAGGTTTTATAATTATTTTTTTTCGTAACTTTTTTTTAAATTCTTTGTTTTTGAGATAAAGTAAACTGTTTCATTCTCATAGTGATGTGGGAAAATATTTGTCATTATTTCAGTTTTATGATCACTGCAAGGAAATGTCAGTAAATCACCATGTAAATCCATTCTTTTCGAATATTTGGATTTTTCGGTAAAGTAAATAATGAAAATTTTTAACTTTTCATTATGTGAAAGACAACTTATTACGCAACACCTTACCATAATTGTGTGTATTTTAAGATACACTTAGATTAAAATCAAAATTATAGTAAATAGTCATAAATATAAAGTTGTAAAATATCAAACATGGACTGTATCACACAATAATTATAATATGTTAGGACGTTGGGTATAAATGTATACATAATGACGTATAATAAAAATAATATATAATAAATGTTTATGTAATATTTTATGAAGCATAAAATAGGTGGGAAATTAAGGTCCTTAATTAGCATAGCGATTTATTAATTTTTTGTTTTGGATAGCGCCAGTGTTGACAAAAAATCGAAGCTCCCGTTGCCCGTACCCCGCTCATTGTATGCATTAAGGAGGATTCACCTCTCACACCCTCCAGCCTTATCGTTTCCAGTCCTGTATATTATCTTAGTCCGTGGTTTTAATTTAATAATAGAACTTTCCCATAACCGATAACACTGTTCGTTTACAAATAAACTCAAAATAACATCTCTACTAATTTAATTTAATAAATCTCCTTTAATCATTTAAAGCCCCTGAATAATTTAGAAATCAATAATATGTCGTTGTTGGATTTGTAGATAGGTTACATTCTCGTTATGAAAAATCACAAGTAGGCAGTTGCACTGAAAAAATAATTAAAACCAGAACATTCTATTTTTATATTATAATGTAAAGAAAATGTACATTGGTCTATATAAATAAACAACTTGATATTAGCTGTTAATAGTCTATTTAATTATCAATATCAACTTGGACGTAAATGCGCATTGTTTGATACAATATCTCTGCTATTAAACAATTTAATTCAATGTTTCATATTCATCTTAAAAATCAGGAAATAATCATCCTAGTTACGCCATTGTGTGTAGGTAGTATTATACTATTAGTTATCCCATATATTTTACAGATATTTTATACCTGTGGAATTTTACACAAATTGTGTCAAAAAAACAAAAAATAAAGTATTAACTAAGTATTAATTATTATTTATAATAATGTACAAACAATTTTTTTTTTTTAAAGAAACATGAACATAACACTTTTTAAGCATATAAAAATAATATTTAATTTTTATTGTCAATGTTGATACAAGATACATTTTCATACACTGTTCTCATAATATTATAATTAATATAAAACATCTAATTGGATATACATTCGGCCTATGTCATACGATTTAGTTCTAAAGGATAAATTGGTATGAGTACATTGTTATCATATTCGAAAAATAATTGAAATCAGGGATTAGTAAAGACATTGTGTCCAAGAATCAACTTTACATAGATTAAAAACTTAATAAATCAATCTTACCATCACTAAAGAGGTAATATTGTAAAAACGATATGGCCATTTTGAAAAAAACATAATTTTCTGTCTTCGACCCGAAACTCACGTATATATAATTTTATAATATTTATACGACTCATAGGCGTCCAGAGGCATGTCCCCCCTGGATTTTCAGACATTTTTTTATTTGAGAAAATGCGAAGAAAATTGCATTTCAAAATGTCTCCTMAAATTTATTCCCCCTCTCTCCACCACTTGAAAATTTTCTGGCTTCAGGTAAACACTTAAAATATAATCTGCCCAGGCCCAACTGTTTTATATCTAACCTATCCTTACCATATTCGTATTTAATCAAAAACATGTATCAGTAAGTACTAATTTACTTATCATAGCCACAAGAAAGTTTCTATATTATTATAATGATATTTACCAAGAATAATGATGATAAAAGTTCCCGAGTATGAGTATTTTAATGATTATATTGTTTTACCTAGTTAGAATGTTAGATTTTTGTGGGATAAGACAAGAAAGTTAAAATTGTACTTCATTATATTTACTTTATTTGTGACAAAATATAGTATCTGAATAAAACTTTACGGAGAAGTTTAAGTGATGTATAACATTAAAAGTACCTAATTACCATAAAATTGTCCAGGGAAATTATAGACTTGATATTTATTAGAAATATTATAATACCTTGTTACGAGAAGATTTAAAATGCTGATTTTAATTTATATTTCAAGTTTCAAGTGACAGCAGGAAAGTATGAGATTTATTATATCAATATAGGTACATGAAAACTAAAAATAATCTCACGATGCTTTACAATTTAGATGCCGTGGTTGTCGTCATATTTTTAAATGTGTGAGTGTGTGACACAGCCAAACGCAATTCCAAGATAATAGATATTATGATGTTGCTAGTTGAAGACTCCAGCTATATCTGTAACCACCTGAAATAATAATAACTGAATAGTATAAATTGGTAATATTCTACGACTCGTGAGTTTTTTCTACGTATCTATAAATAATAAATTATACAATGTAGTAGTGAAGTATAACATAATAATATTATTCAATTTTTACATAATTTCTTAATTCTAAACGGATTAAAAATCTTCGTGGGATTAATATATTTTCCATACTTTTTGGTATATAAAAAATATTTAATTAAAAACTAGACTAGTGACCATGACGTATCTACGACTAATACAATGTTAAATTCAAATAAATAACAAAACTTTACAAAATTATCTCTAAATATTTGCAATTAAAAATTAAAAATATAGGTAGTTGAATTTACTTAGCTGTATGGTTTACAGATATTATTATATTACCTCGTCATTTAGTAGATCACTGAAATTAGTGTGTAGGTACTATTTGAAATTAACAATACATTATTATATAAAAATAAGAGACTGGTGGACTTGACAATTTTCTACATAAATCAACCTCAAGAAAGGATGATTAAGGATGATAATATTTTGTTGCAGAAACTTTTTTGAATGAATCATAACTAAATTGGTTCCAAACCAATACAATGTTAAACATTTTAATTTATGATGATGTCAGCATAATATTTATTTTCTATCTCAGATCCACGTGCAACATCTATACAGATAAAATACATTAACCTAAGATCGTAATTTATGGTTTTTGAGTAATCTTAGAGTAAAATCACCTATTACGAAAAATTTAATATTAAAATTGAATAAAAAATAATATTTTTAAGGATATGACATATTGGTTTTATATTTTATTATAATTTAATTTTGTATTTGACTTTCAAAATAAAATAGATTCTGTGTAAATACAACCATAAAGAGAAGAAAACAAACAGTGCGTTGATATCCCCTTAATTATAAGATACAGAAAATAAAAAGCAAGCTTAACTATATACTAATACAATATCACGTATTGACATTATAATGTAACATACCTACCTAAATGTTTACTTGTAGGTCCGTCGGTATAATTTATACAGTTTATACAATTTTTTTTTTTTTACCATTTTTATGTAGCATTATTAATATAATAATAATTTTTTTGCACCTACAATAAAATTATTTTGTTTATACTTGTTGTGTTAGTTCCTTATACAAAATATTAATTATATATTTAATTTTTTTAAATTTTTGTATTGAAGAAGTAGACGTGAATAAAAAATATTAAAATTATTTCAATAAAAAATGTAATCACCAAAGTTAAAATCAAAAATCTACTAGACTACATTCTATACCATAAGCTCCAGCTATCATTTTACTGTATTTAATTAATAGTCAACACAACTTCAAGAAACAATGTAAGCATTTAAAATTTGAAATATTTAGATAATTTTATAAATCAACCACAAATAAAATTGCATAGATTATGACAAAATCAAATAGTGACATTACAACATGCGGCGGGCATTTTTAGTTCGTAAAATAGGAGTTCAAAGTTATTAATAGGTTTTCATAAGCTCGGATTGTACCTTTGAAATGCACAATGATCTATACAATGATCTATCGTTGGATTGAAGTGCAATAAGTCACTCGCTATCAGCGCATTTATTATTTCATAAATTATTATAATAAATCAGCTTTTGATTTTGTACATCGTGCTGTTTCATCATATTGATAATCGACCGTACACATCTTATATTTAATAACCGTTTATTATAGGCGCACGCTCGCAGACTCTTTTCATTGTAATACACGATTACCGTAAAAATCATTTATTTAAATTACACGGGTAAGTGAACGTTAAGTTGTACAAAAATCAAAATTAATTATTGGTTGGTAATCGCGTATTGTGTGATAATTATCATACCTACTTATAATATTTATATGTATATATGAAGGCTGACGTGCATAACAAAACCGACTAAACTCGAGTCTACAACACAATAATACGACTCTCTTCTTCATTTCTGCACGCATCTATCTATATGTAATAATAATGACCGATTATCGACCAATGGTGATTCTAGCATAGTTTGTAATTTGGTATCGTGTTATTATTAATATTATTTTTTTAAATTTTTTTTGTAACTAAGCGTAATATCGTAGGTATGCCGTTAACAATAATAATAGTTTTATTATTTTAACGAAACCTTACGCACACGCAAGCGTACATAATAATAATACAAATCAACCGGTCTTACGCGAACGATAAACAGAACAATATAATATCGAACGCACCAAGCTATTGATTTGAAATGTGCAATTATCCGCCGAAAACTTACGCGAAGCGTTATAAGATGTAACATAATAAATATGCGTTAATTTACTAACTAGGTATACGTTTTGGTTATAAAATAGCCAACAGGCTTAGGCATTCAATACATTATTATAATGTATTATTGAATATAAATAATAACATACTGTAGCAGATCGGCCGCCGCGGGGTTAGATTGTTACAATATATAATATGTATATATATATATATATATATATATATATGTATATCGTTAACTATAGCACTATAGCGCCGTTCATTCGTTTAATTGCCACTATAACGGCAAACTTCGAGAACCATATGCGGTATCAAAGAAATATACTTAACACACCCAAAGCGTCTATAATATCAATTATCATGTTTATATTGTATTTGAAACGCAAGTTTAGTGAATTAAATATATATATGTAATACCTATTATCACTTATCATTGTATACATACATATTATTATTATTACACGACGACGAGAGTCTGGCAAGCCTAAGTATTATAAAATAATTTATATAGACACATGTTTTTGAAACCGAATTATTTGTCTACATTACATTATAATAATAATAATGCACTATCTATCATTAAATGTTTTGTGTTTAAGTGAATAAATCCAATGGCTATTATTACTAGGTAGGCACTTTATTTTCCATAATTTGTCCATGGTATATAAAGATATTATAATGATATACGTAGTCACGTTGTTGGCACTCGCACTTAACACACAATACTGATGAATTACAATATAATTATGTACGATTTAGTGTATGCACCAGAAAATAATTTATTGAATTGTTTCGTACAGAGTGCCGACAGAGACGGTAAACGCGCCCACAGCAGCCTGTTTGTCCTCATCAATACAATATTTTTTCAAATAATTCAGTTTTGTTTATTGTCTGGTTTTTGCAAAGTTTTACCATTATTATTACGATGGCCAACATATGCCAATATTTTTTTTCGTCCACTTACACTAGCTGCAAATTACTAGGTATGCATTTCTTGTATTTGTAAGCCTCAGTTTTCTTCACATAAACGTCATAAACGATCGATTCCAATATAAAGTGTAGTCTCTATTTATGCATTACCTATCTAAGTTTAGCGACGTTATCATACAATAATGTTGTTTTTAATTTGAAAACTAATCGAATGTTTTTTCAATGAATACCTATATTATTAATTAAGAACTAAATTCATTCTAGTTTAAGTAGGTACAAATACAACATGAAACAAAAAAAATGGACATAAACTAAGGACTAAGGCTGGCGGCTGCAAATTGTATACGCTCTGAATTTCTTAAAAAAATCTAGATAAACAAAACGCATTTATGCAGAATCATTTTTTCTATGTTTTTAAGTTATCTTAGAGTAAAATCATCTACTACAAAAAAAGATAGAGAATAATATTTTTGAGATAATGACATATTGATATTATATTTCATCATTGTTATTTTATTGTAGGTATATTCGATCATCAAAATAAACAAAAATTATTGTAAATTGAAATTATGTTTAAATTGTTTTGAGACTATATTTAAACAAATCAATATATCATTCCCTCAAAAATATTATTTTCTTTCTTTTTTGTAATAATAAGTGATTTTACTCTAAACTAACTTAAAAACATAGAAAAAAAGCGGGTAAGTCGTGGATGTCGCTCTGCTGTACAGTAGGTTACTGTAATGGATGGGATTAAATTTGAATGCAATGATAGGTATCATTTCCGGTGTACATTTTTTTTGTGATAAAGATTGGAAAACTTGTAAGGAATCTTATATTACATTTTTAAATCTTAGTTTAAAAAAGAAATTTTTTTATGAATTTTTAAATAAATAATAAAAATAATTTGTGAATTTTTGTGATTTTTACGTATTTTGTCAAAATTCAAACTTTGAATGCTTATAAAAAAA